TGACATTCTGAGAGGAGGGGGAGGCCTAGGAGAGGCATCCTGCACCGGCGGAGCAACCCTAGAGTAAGTATTTATTATTTCTATAACTTAGTTAAAAATCTCGTACGCGCATTAATTCGGTCTCTTTATTTGAATGAATTAAACAAGAGAAAATTTTAAAAAAAGATTTTTACATATATCCTATAAAAGTTCTTATATGTAAAAAAAAGTTTTTTTATAATTTATAAAATTGTTCCATATTTATATAGAGCTTTTTAGTATGTACGCATCGGATATAAAATATTCCGCACGAATTATTAATTATATTTTGGATGTTGCTATAATTTGGATTTTATATTTGTATGTTACAGACAACGTAGCCTCAAGACCAACAACTCCGCAGACCTTGTATTTTCATATCAAAGAATCGTTGATAAATTCGAGAAATTTTATTTCAAATTTTATAAATATCATGAATATCGCTGATTCTTCTAGTGTTTAATAAAAAAGTTATTGAATAAGAATGTGAAGATTCAATGTTAAGTCAACAATTAAATATTAGCTTTTCATTCACAAAATTTGATGACTGCCTTCGACATTGTAGAATCGCGAGTAAATTATTCCGAATTTCATGATTTGATTGATATTTACGAATTTCATATCGGAATTAAATATTCATTAAATAAATTAATAAACTACATCGCGAAAATACTGCGTTCTTTCCACGTTCTTGGACGCGATCGCTGTCTTAGCAAAGGGGCCTTATCGCTGTCCGTCTCGTCAGATGAACGTTAGTAATGTTGCGTGGTTCGTACCGACGAGGAGTCGAAACAATCTTCATCGCGGAGAATTATTTCTTGTCGGTTTTTGTAAGATCCATCTGCGACGTCTAGTTCGGTGCCCTGTTGAAAATTGGGGATGTTTGTTGTAGGATTGGAATTAAACCCAGGTTTTCCTGGCGATTTCTGAAAGCAATGGTTTTGGTAGTAACTCAACGACAACTGCCACACGCCTTTTTGAAGTCGAATCAGAAAATTAATTTAAATAGTATATTTGAAGGAAAGATATATTTTTCTTTCTCTTTGTTAAAAGTGTTCTTCTATCATTATTAATATTAGTATTTTTATTGTCTTAATACTAAAAAGATTTAATAGTAGATTGAACATGGATATAACTATTGTGTATAAATTCCTATTTTTCAAGTAATTTCAAATTGTAATCAGTTTGCCAGTTTCTATTAATTTTTTCCTCAACCATTATGTATTATATTATGTACTATATTTTATCCACAAACATTATGGTTACAAACGGATGTATTCTATTAATTAATTTTTAATTAATATAATTTTTGTTCTTTTTTTTGAGAAAATATTTCTAGGCATTGAGGATATTAACGTTAGTTTTTATGGTTTCTTTTAAGAAATCATTTGCAGGTATTGGACATCCCACCATTCTAGGTGCATCCTGGATAGTTTTTAGATATACCATTTTATATATATGTATAATAAAATACATGCGCAATTTAACATACTATCTCATAAAATTTTTACATTTTTTTAAAATATTATGTTACAAAATATCATGTATGAATATAATGTAAAATGTGCGAATACTTTAAAACTTCGAGACAAATCGAATGGGTACCCCGATATCAGTGAAATATCGGCAAATTAATGTATTTAAATGCTACAAAAAAAGAATAATTATAACTTAGAAATAATTATGCTTTATATTATTTTGATTTATTTTATATGTTGCAAAGTATCCACATTAAATTTTTTAAATTTTGCTGTTATTGGGTTCGATTCGTCTCGAACAGTTGGTACCCAAGAATTATTTATATTCGCACATTTAATACAAGCTTAACAGATCACTTAACTTTTCTTTGCGGCTTGATTTTGCGGGGTCCGATGTAGAAGTAAGAAGTTGTTCATCCATCTTTAGGATTGTTCTTGTCTTTGTCGGATATTAACCGGCGTGTTATCTGGCGGAGGGATCTTGATCTAGTCAAATTGTTGGGCCAATTATCCTCCATTGAACGTGGCGATAACGCAGTTTTTTTTTTTATAACGGTCTCAAGACTTATAAGGTTTTATCCTGTTTAGCCAATCCTCCGCGAAACGGTACATATATCTTATTCTCAATCGCGAAATTTTCATAAAATCATGCATTTGAAAATTAATCGGGCATTAGATTTTATATTCACAAATATATTATACTACAGACGCGATTATAAAAATCGCTCCAAATGTCCGTCGAAACATTTTCGTTTAAGTTATATAGTAATTATATCATTCCTCCGATTATTCTAAAAATTACATGTATACGTATATTGGAATCGAGTATTATGACTATCGTCGATTTATTTATTTGTTGCGTTTTTTCGCAATTTTAAATCACGGTTTATCTTGTGATTTAATCGTTGATTTACATCGAAGCTTCATCTATATTTTCTCGGATATTTTCTTTGAAAGTCCACGCAAAATGCGACAATAGTCTAACAATAAGTACTTTTTTCTACTATTGAAAAGCGATCGATAACTTTATTAACGATTCTTTTGGTCATAATTGTTTACATTATATAAAACTTAATAAGCTTTGTAATTGCATATTAATCATTAATCATAAATATCGCATTAATCGTTACTTATCAAGTATATTTGATATAAAAATTTCTAATTAATTTTGCATTATATGAATATTTCGGATATTTTTGTGTAATCCCGTGTAATAAATTATATATATATCTTATATCATTTTTTGTGTATTATATTTTTTATTTTACAAGTTTGTAAAATCTATTTATTAAAAGAAACCTATATATTAGAAGGAAATTAAAATTTCAAATTATATTTTGTATATTAAATTTATTATATTGTATCATTTATTGTGTATTAAAATAAATAAAACCTAACCTAATCTGAAAAATAAAAAAAGAGGAAGCAAATCATCCTCATACATTTTTCCTCCTCGATAGTATCTCCACCTTAACGAAGGCATTTGCCGGGTAAGGAGGTTTGAGTACTCTAATGATCCTAAGAGCTATGCCGGCGGTAACATATAACGTTTTCGAGTGAAGCAAGTTTGATTGTTCTGAGACCGATTAATAACGTCATATATTCTGTCTTCATTATTAGGAGTACTTAAATTATTAGATTAATCAATGAAATATTTTAAGTATACATTTAATTGATTAATCAGGGCAAAGAATTTTGTGCTTTAAAGCCAAAATAGCAACAAAAAAGAGAGATGTATTTTATATTAGTTATATTATTAATGTATCATATATTTATATTAATTAGATTCTCTTAAAACTTATTTTTGGAACAAACATATATTTATGGTAAATTGGATTTAATCGCTCTCAAAGCGATCAAACTTCCTTTATTCGAAAACGCTAATAGTTACCGGTAGGGTCACTCATGCCGGACAGATCGAAGGGAAGGAGTCAGACTAAAAGAGATACCGTAATTATTATCTGCGAAAATTTAGTTTCATTGAAAAACTTCAAAATGTTCTCGTGTTTGGTGGTTCGACTTCTACTCTTACATACATAATATGTGAACTCTGTGCAGTAGAATTTATATGAGAGAGAGTTGGGTGATAGCAATTTCCCGCATAATAATATACAGTCAATTTCCGAATACTAACTAGTTTGATTTTTCCGAGTTATAAAGAATACTTTACATTTCTTGTTAAAGTTGTAGAAACATTATAACAGCAAATTTTCTGTGTTGCTACAATTAATATAAAAAAGTATAAATAAAAAGATAGAAAAAGATATAAATTGCAAATAAGTATTGCTAATTAAATCGTAATGTAGCGATAAAAGGACAACTCTCTGTTATACGAAAGAAAAACAGTTTTGTATTGTTTTTGGTTTGATTTAAGAGATTTATTATAAATCGACTCTCTTTACATACACATATGAAAGTCGTCTTTAATTCTAAATTTTCTTTACAATAATATTCTATTAATATAAAATATGCGTTATGTGTATTTTAATAATCGATATAATTGATATAAATGATATCTTACATTTATCTTCTATAATATTTTGTATGCAATTATTTTGACAATGCACTTTATAGTGTGATGGGATGAATATAGAAAATATGGGCGTAGATGTATAACATATGTATCAAAGTATACATAATATGGCTTTCGGTAATCATATTCCGATTATCAATAACATTATTCTACTTTTATATATGTGAATATTACTATTCACATAAAATATTTCGGCACATTATAATGGTTTCCTCCGAAATAAAATTTAAAAAATGACAGCAAGAACAAGTACAAGACTGTACCGATCATAAGTAATAACGAGTTAATATAATTATTGTTAGATTCTAAATACATTATTACGTTAAATTTATAAATTGGCAAAATTATGTGTAAATTGTCTTTAATGTGACAAAAATGTAATAAAAATAATTTGAAGAAAAAGTAGATCACGTAAATCCACATACAAAATATGAATTTTTTTAAATTAGAAATATGTAATTAAAATGTTATCGACAAATTATATAATAATTTCAAATTGAAATTTAACTATCAATTCGAAGAATCACATATATTTATCTAAAAATATTCTATGTACATATTATATTGATATATTTATACCAATTATAAAAAAAGTCTAACACAAATTGATTCATCTGCAGAAAAAGTAAGAGCAAAAGTTTACTGAGAAAAAGAAAAATATCATCGAATCTTTTAACGTTTCTCTAATATTTTTCTTCATTGTCAATCAAAACAGAAACGTAGACCATTTGAACTACTAATTCAGTAAGTATCGCAATATTAATAAGTATTAGATAGCGAATTATTAGCGTTCTAAAATAATCCTTGTGCAAACCTAAAGATTAATGTAAGATATCTCAAAATGATATCTTCCTCATGAATGCTTTGCGACAACATTTTTCTGCTGTAAATTTCTCATGACATATAATGCATTAATAGAAAGGATTTGATTTTATATCAAGAATGAAAATTTGTCACTTTTAGAGATATGCTGTTCGCACTATATTAAAGTAACCAATGTATTCTGTCTCTTCCGGTGTGATATCGTTCACGAATATGCCGGCCGATTCATCTTTAGAGAAAATGTGAAATTTATAACGGCTTTCAATGTACTGCAAGATATAAAAATTATGACAATTCATGTTTCGTAATGTATCGGTTGTTGAAAATGAAGTATTGACGTTACAAATAATGTTACAATAGTTCAGCTAATGAGCACAAAATTTTGAAATATAATATATCAATTTGTTTAATACATAATAGATATATACCAAAATGCATATAAATACAAATTAATTAGAAAAAAGTAAAAGAAAAACCAGAATTTGTAATTTTATGATAATTTATTTAAAAATGAGGAATTTAAGTGCAATTATATAGAAAATAATATCTGTTCGTACACTTAAAAAATTACTTACGTGATATCCGTTAGGATGCCGAAAACTAAGCTCGATTTTAGTATTGCCTAATATGCCAACAGCTATTAGATCCTTACAGTCATATTGATACATCTTTAACCCGTCCGGGTATATAAGGTCCACTGGATAATCTTCTGGTGTAATATAGCATTCGGCTTGTCCCCCGTTTAGTACGAACACTCCACCTAAAACTAAAATATTGGATATGAAAGACATATATATTTATAGACACATTATTTTTGTCGATCAATTTTATTATTTTTGCTCTCTATTTATTTCGTTAATCAAGATATACTCTTATAAAGATTATTTCTTACCAAGTGAACATTGACAATATTTTCTCAGAATACACTGCATTAGCAATATGATGCTGCATTGGAATCTGCGCCCTTTAGCACGTATTTTGATCACCATTCCTTGTCTCCCTTCACTGAAGAAGAAGTTGCCCAACATAGAGCATACCATTTGATTGGAATCTGTGATCTCTTTCAGTTGTAAATGCCCAATATCATCTTCATAAGCGATACGACTGTCATTATTAACATTTTCAGGTGGCAAGACTGTCGCATTCATAGTAAGCTATAATAAAAACCGCGTTTCTATAGATAGATAGATAGATAGATAGAGAGAGAGAGAGAGAGAGAGAGAGAGAGAGAGAGAGAGAAGGAAAGAGAGAGGATGAGAGGGAGGACGAGAGAAGGAGAGAGATGGCAATAAAATAAATAAAAGCGCTTTTAAAATTAATGACAAATTAATATAATTAAAATTAAACTTGGACTTAATTTATATAATTAAACTTAAAATTAATACAGCGAAAAAATACTAAGAATAAAACAATAATCTACTTGCACATTCTATTTTTTTTCGAAAGGCCAATATATTCTTTTGCGTATGAAAATATCGATAATACGTACAACACCATTGTAAAGCATAGATGGTCTTACGGCATAACCTCCTCCAATAATAAAGGAATCATGACAATATCTTAATAATTGATCTCGAATGTCGCATGTTATTTCTGTTCGCAGGTTTGCTAAATGATTTAACCCACCAACGCGCAAAGACGACGTGTTACCAGATAGTCCTGTTAAAATATAACATATTGTCATATTGTGTAAATGTATTGCATTTCGCGGAAGATCACGAATGTTTGTTATTATATTTCTTACCAACTGCGGCAAGATTGTACGGCGGTCTGGTTAGACAGGGGCAGCTAACCACATTAATTTCGAATTCGTCGAAAAGTTGGTGCAATCCGACGTACAAAACTATATCATAAAGTAATGATATTTGTAAAATATCACTTATTTAAATTAAGTAATGAATTTCATATACGTACCATTTTTTATGTGTTCGAGGGTAGATGGAAATAATCTATATCCAATGAATAATCCTGGTTCATTAAGATTTCTTAGAGGATCAAAGTAGGTAGCAAACTCTATATCGTTTGGCATCGTATTATAAACTTCATCGTTGAAAAGATCAATTCCTCTAAAGAGACCATCGTTTGGTATAGCATTTTCATTTTCGAGATCATTATTTCCTCTAACAGCATGACCGTTCGGTATAGCATTTTCATTTTCGACATCATTATTTCCTCCAACAGCATGACCGTTCGGTATAGCAATTTCATCTTCAACATCATTATTTCCTCCAAAAGCATTACCGTTTGGTATAGCATTTTCCTCTTCGAGATCATCATTTCCTCCAACAACATGACCGTTTGGTATAGCATTTTCATTTTCGGGAGGATTATTTCTTACAGGGACAGGGTGCGGATAGGGCGCCATAATGCTCGATTTGAAATATAAACACGATGTTACTAGGGAACTATAAAACGTAAAAATTATTAGATTAGCAGATTAAATATAATGTAAAACATCTAACAGAGTAAACATATCATATACATATTGTATATATATCTCTAATTTTTATAGATGAGAAAATATTATAGTAATATTATATTATAACATATATTAAGAACAAGATTGTACAATTTGAACAGATAAATCTGGTAAGAAAAAAAAATTTGTTTATTAGATTAGCTAAATTACTATTTTTTTTATTTTGAGATTATTTTTGTTTTTAAAAAGAAATATATTATTATATTAATGGATTGCTTGCATTATATGGCATATATGTTCAGATAAAATTGTATAATGATCAATAATTAATAAAATATTTTATAATCATATATCGCGAATACGCATGCAAATGCGAACAAACGCAAAATATACTTTTAAATATATATATATGTAATGTACAATATAGATCAGACTTACGTCAGATAATTTATGGCGTATTGTTCGAGTTATTAATTAGTATTACCATCAAAAGCACGTTTCTCCTTTTGTAGATCGTAAATATGAATATTCACACGGAGCGTTTCGTCAAGAACTATTCTTTTAAATGTAACAGAAACGAGAAGAGGATAAACAAAATATAAGATTAGCGGTCACGAGACAATGATAACAAACCAATGTGAATTAATGAGATTGTAAATAAGCTTTGAATTTACCAACGAACTTGAATACAAATTCTTATAATTTATTCTTCAAATAAAAATATGATTTGAGGGAAAAAAATTAAATTTATAAAAATTTGAGAAATTGAAATTTAGCTTTAAATTTGAATGCTCTCGCAAAATTTAAAATAGTTTATTATCGTGAAATCACAATATTTTCTAATTTGTTAAAACTGTATATATGTATAATATTTGCGTAATATGTAAACATATTACACAAATTTTATGTTACATTATATATGTTTTCTTTGTTTTTTCTGTTTAATTCTGTAAATATTTAAATATAATATAATATAACTATATAATATAATATAACTAATATAATATAACTAAAAATATACCAAAATTATACTAAATTATGTAATAATTAAATATTATCCTTAGTACAGTTATTATGTTATATTATATATTCTCTCTTTGTTCTTTTTGTTTAACTCTGTAAATATCTACTATAGCAAGCGCGAAATTTTTAAGCTCCAATTTATATACCATAATATGTATTCTAGAACCGGAGTAGTTTCATGTTGCGAAACTTACGCCACAAGTTTTCACGTAGTTTAATCATATCGAAAAACAGAAACTCGTGT